GAATCAGGAATACAGTTCCCAAATAGCACATTTGTATTTTCATTTCACAGTAGAAAAAAATGGAGTAGGATTTTTTTTTTTTTTTGGTGTTTCTCTGGTACTGGGAACCGAACTCACGACCTTGAGCTTGCCAGGCAGGCGCTTTGCCGCTGAGCTAAATCCCCAGCCCTAACAGTAGGATTTGTTATAAGTTTGTTTGGGGATGTGTGTGCTTGCTTCCCTCTCCCTGATGATAAAAACAGGGTATTTTCCATGTTTATCAGGGAACTCAGTGTTGAGGTCATTGACAGCATGTGAGGAGTCCCACTGGGATACTTGTTTATTGGCCTAAATTGATTCTTCGGGTCTGTAGTTCTGTATACTGGGAGATGGGGTGAGGGAGAGGAGCTTGCCTACATCCTCTGGGCAAGAAGGCTAAGTCAACCAGCAGCCCATTTTATCCCAGGAAAAGAATGGTGCGTATTTCCGCACAGGTAGGCAGGAGTGAGAGCCACCTTGGGTACGTGGAAAAACCGAGAGTAGGATGGGGATGCCGTAGAGATGGGCTCAGGGCCAAGGCCCATGACAGAAGTCCTTGGCCCTGATTGCATCCACTTTTCAAAGCCATGCCTGCCGGGGATTTTCAGACTGTCACAGAACATTCTCCTCCGGAAGACGGTTCCTCCTCATTTCATCTTTCTAGAACAGGAAAGCCCACTCTCTCGCCCCTGTCTCCTTGCCACCGTTTTAGTCATGTAACAAGTGCTTGTTTCTGTCACTCTCACCTTCGTCAGTCTTCTGGCTCCGCAGGCAGGGGCCGGCGTGGAGACTTACACATCGTGTATCTCTGGTGCAGCACACGAAGTGTGCATGAATTGCAGGCTGAGTGGATAAAATCTCACTGATGGTGCTTTTTTAAAATATATATTTGATCTAGTAGATTCTTTGCTCAGGTAGAGGCGCAAACCCCGTCATGCTCTTCTGCCTCTTGGGAGATGCAACACCACTCCAATGCTGGCGTCTAAAGAGTGAGCTGAAGTTTATCCACACACTCGGGATAATGGACGTTGGGTTTACTTGGCCAGAGACTCTGGAGCCTAGAGTTTAGACGAGCCAGTTGAGACCGATCCCCTTGAGCCTGGGCTGTGAGTGACTTATTTCAAGGTCCACTGGAGGAGCCGGGCTGGGGCACATTGCCATGAGCGGGTTTGTTGGAGCTGTGGTTGATCTAAATTGATGGGAGTGGAGGAGCCTCGGCAGGTTCTACTTCAGGAGCCAAAAAGCAGCAGCAAAAGGACCCAGGTGTTTTCTCATTTAACTGTTGCAACAAACTGCTCACCATCGGTGCAACTTAGATCCCGATGTCCTGATGAGAAAATTGGCTTAGCGAGGGTGAACGGTTTGCCCAAACGCATGCAGCTAGGAAAGAGCAGAGGTGGGACTTAAAACCTTGTGGGCTCCCAAAGGTGTGCTCACCCATACACCATGTTGTCTGTAGACAGAGACAGGGAAAGGCAAAGACAGGCAGGACTGACACAGGGGCAGAAGAATGCCACCTGGACGGAGAATCTCGCTCAATGTGGTCCTCCCAGGGCCACAGAAAGAACCAGATGTACCCGGCAGCTTTGCTGTATGGAGAAGGGTCTCTGGCTAGGACAGCTAGGTGTCCTCCAGTATCCGTTCCGCACTTTCGGGGTAAGAGGACAATCTGCTTTTAGCCGAGCCTGGCACCACCCAAGTGACAGTTGCATTTCCCAGCTTCCCCCACATCTAAGCGCATGACCGGAGAAATGAGCCACCCACGGGGGGCAGTGAGAGCACAGCACTCCTCTGCATCCAGGGGAACCGTTCACAACACGGGGAACCTGTGAATAGAAATGATGGCGCAGTCTCACCGGATAGAGGCGTGCTCTTCCTGTGACCCTTTGTGCTCTCCGGAGACTGAATGCACCAGTGGAAAAATGGCTACCTGCGACAACAGCGGGACTTGGGCCCACGTCCTCTGCAGTAACTGGCCCAGAATGGTCAGGACTCGGTTACTGACTGCTATCTTCCCCACATCCTTTCCTGCCTCCAACTCAGGACCAACTAGAGAAAGTCGCATACCTCCCCAAAGCAATCACAGACGATGCACACTTCCCATGAGGATGCCTCCAGCTCCCACAGGCAGAGAGCCTCGCTCAGACGCACCTGCAGCCTTGCTTTGTTCTATAAAGCTCTCTCCTCCTCTGCCAGCCTTTGAGGCTCTGCCAGATGCAAGACTCCATGCTGTCACAAGCTTGGAATCAGCGGCCCTCGATTGTTCCCTTGCAGGTGGTCTCTTCGTGTCTCCTTCTGTTGCTCGGACTACAGTCATAAGGTGACCCATCCTGAATCACTGGCACTTGGAGGCAAGGATTCTAAGTCTCTAGCTTTGTGGACCCTCATAGACTTGGAGCCAGTGATGGCGAACCTTTTAGAGTATTCAGTGATACAAACAGCCCACTTCCCCGTACATACATGCCGTAGGTTCACCACCACTGCCTGAGTTATTAGTGACAGAGGAACACACTTCGACCTTTAAGGCACTGCTATTTTGGATTTCTGTTTCAGCAACTTAGCCAAATATGCACACGCACATACAGATATACCCTGAGGAGCCTTTTTAGTCTCAGACTGAAGTCTCAGTCAAACTTCATCTATTTAAATCCTACTAATTTGGAACTTATGTGAGTTTGCCCTGGGGCAGCCTGGGTGATAGGGTACATTTGCACAGGATTAAAAATCAGTTTGCTGAGCAGATTCATGGACTACAGAGTTTACTCATCTAAACTAGGAGTTTTAAGATATTTTAGCTTCTTCTATTTGCATGCAATGATTGATATGCTAATTATAAGAAACTCATACCTATTCATTAAAACTGGGAGGCTACTCAGTCTGGGCAGACTGAGAATGCTTTAATGCAAAGGCATAGAGCTGCATTCATGCACACAAAATCCAGAACTTCCACCAATTCTAGCTGAAGTCTTCCCAGTCAGGATGCATACATTTCACTAATTTTCTGCCGGGTGCTTTCTCATATTCCAAGGGAATGCTGCCTCCCTTCGGATAGCTATAGCTTGGTGACTACATGGCCTAGGATCCCAGGACACCAAATGCTTCTGAACGGGGAATACAGAAGAGCAATTTATTAATGTCTCCATTCCACCCATCCTTCTTTTGGTCACCAGGGGTTCAGGCGCCTGGCTTCCAAGTGCAATGGCTCTGCTTCCCTCCCTACCCCTTCTCTATACCAACCTGGTAAACACAAAACGGTCAACTCACAGAGCTGACTGCTCAGAGCCATGGGCTCAGTCACTTGATGCCCTGGCTGGAAGATGCTTCAAGAATGGCTGCAGGTCAGAAAGATGGGGCAAGACACAGAGTGAATGCTTTAAACTTTGGTATCTTCTCCCTTATAATCAGATCTTGCTTTCTCAGGGAGCTTCTACCATGCCTGACAGAGCAGACAACAGCTAAGAGGGTCCTGGGATTCTGCAACCGTTCCCTGGCCACTTGTGCTCTGGACTATCTGAGAAGCCAGTCCCAGAAATTCAGTTACCGGGGATGTCCTCGCCTTTGCCCCCAGGCCTCCAACATCCACTCATCCCTGCTTTCGCCTGCCAGTCAGTTCTGTGTGCCTACTCTAGGTGGGCAAGGAAGGCTTGATCCTCCACAGGCTCACAGCCTATGGTAGAGACTCACGTACACATAGGAGTACAATCTAGTGTAATAAAGGCTGACATCCAGTTACGTATAGCTACCAAGTGAAAACAGAAGAGGGAACAGATAATCAGCTTAGCTGGGGAAAGCTTCACAAATACCTAGCAAGTGACACTGGAGCGAGGCCTCTCTAGAAGCATGGTTTTCCATCAGGAGGAGATGAGGGAGCAGAGGGGCAAAGGCAAGGACTGGGCCAAGCCTGGAGATGAGAAAAGGCACATAATTCTGTGAGGGTTGAGCAGAGGATGAGGAAGAATCAGGAGATGAGCCAGGAATGATAAGTCAGGATTATACTGGGCACCACGTCAGAGAGTTTGGACACCATCCTGAGGTTCTCCAACACAGTCAAGGTTGGGAACTCAAATGCCTACATGGGCCAGGCAGATGGTGCAAATTAGAGGAGGGAAGCTGGGGAGTGAAGGCCCCACCTAAAGGTGGTAACAAGTTGTCATGCTGGAGTGCAGCCTTGATGTAGCCAAAATTCCATTAAAAAAAACATAAACTGAGGCCAGGCATAGTGGTGCCTGCCTGTAATCCCAGCTAGTTGGGAGGCTGAGGCAGGAGGATCACAAGTTTAAGGCCAGCCTGGGCAATTTAACAATTTAGCAAAATGTCATCTCTAAACAAACAAACAAAAAAATTGAAAAGGATTGAAGATGTAGCTCAGTGAGACAGGGCCAAGGTTAATCCCCAATATAAATAAGTAAATAAATAAGAAGCAGCAGCTAAGGCCAGGAACGTGTAACCTAGCTACGAGGGACACTGAAGCAGGAACCTATGCTGGGCAAGTTAGCAAGACCCTGCCTCAGTATAAAACGTTTAAAGGGCTGGGTGTGTAGCTCAGCGGTAAAGCACTTGCCTAGGATACTCAGGTCCTTGGGCGCAATACCCAACACCAACATGGTGGGGACCACGTTTTTATATAAATGCCTCTGGTTTTTCTAGTTTTCACTGATTGCTGTTATTTCAAAACATCATGCTGACCAAGTAAAAGATACACGGTTGTCCTCTCCACCTTCAGCCCTTCCCTTTGGCACTCGAAGTCTAAAGTGTCTATGCAAAGATCTTACGAGTCAGACCTGTGCTTCAGAAAGAGAATGTCTGTGCAGATCTCTGTGCTGTCTTTCTGAGCCAGGCTTCTCCGGGATCCTCCACCCCTGTACTCTGGCCTCTCCCTCCTGTAACTTCACCTTTGCACCCCTCACTACCCTCCCAGACTATCCCAGCACCAGCTGCCCCATATAGTGGAGGAGCTAAAGGAATGGAGCATGCAGTAGGCCTGGCTTACAAAGTCCAGTGTTAAGGACACGAGAGAGCCACATTTATTTCACATGGACAAGCATGATTCCGTCGCATGCTACACACGAAAGCTCGCATGAGGAAAGTACCCGTAACAGCAGTTATGTGCTTTTGTTCACAGGGAGCGGGGTGAGTCACAAAGTGGTTTTCAAAGGCAGTACCCTCCGAGCACAGCTGAGACCACAGGTTTTGAACTCACTGCCTTCTCTCATCCTCAAAGGGATGCTTCTAGCTTTGCAATCTCTGCAAGATCTGCGAGGGGCTGAAGATGCTCTCCCATCCCACCACCCAGGGCGGCTCCAGGGAATTAGGCTCAGAGGAAAGTGCATGCCACTTGGAATTAACAAGTCCATTCCTGGGAGGGTGGTGCAGGAACGGACAGCCGTGTTCATAGCAGCAGAACTGTCACCACCTATACTCTGTGTGATCGCTGGAAGACACACTCTTCTAACAGCAACTCCCTCAAGGCCTCTTATAGATGGGAGGGAGACAATTTGGGACTTGGATGGATGTGCCAGCAGCAAATCAAATTTGCCTGGACAGATTGGTGAGAGCTAGTGGCCGGGACCTTCCCGTTCTCTTTGGCCTTGGCCTTGGGAACTCTCTGGTTCCAAAAGGTGGGACCCAGGATGGGAAGAGGGACCGGAGGCCAAGCTTGTTGAGGGAGGAGGACCAGAGCCCAGGCAGCAAACCTCAGGGACGGGATGAGGGAAGAGCCCTTTGGTGGCTTACTCCCACCTGAAGTCCTGCCCAACGGTTTCATAAAATTTAATATTATAAGGTCTATAAAATTCCCGGAGCTGATCTATCACTTCGGGGTCGATCTGTACATGAGTTCTGCCTTTGGATTTGCCCAGGCATCGAGGCAGGAGGCTCGACTGTGTCTTTTTCAAGCACGGGAATCCTTTGGTCTTGTTGAAGTAGAAGTGCTTGTCCGTGATGAACCTCTTGATGCCCAGGAAGTCCTGGACGCGCCCCATTTCACCCGCAGGGTCGGTGATGAGCCTTTCGCCACTGACGAAGTGGATCTGGGCCAGCGGGAAGTAGCGCAGCCAGCTCTCCAGGTGCAGCGCGTACATCCCGATGCGGATGGCGTTCCACGACACGTCCACCAGGCCCAGAGTGCGGTTGCGGAAGGACAGGCCCTCGAAGGTCGGGATGTCGGGCTTCTTGGAGAGTGTCTGCGTGTAATCAGAGATGGCGCGAGTCACCGGGTTCCGCACCACCACGATGAGCTTGGTGTCCCGGGACATGTTGAAGATCCGCCGTGGGGCCTCTTGAGTGACAAAATAACTCGGCGTCTTCTCCAGCGTGATCTGGGTCTCCAGGGTCCTGGGCATCAGGCTCCTGGGGGCAGAAGCAACACATCATTAGACAGGGCTCTGCGTGCTGGGGATGGGAGGCCCAGGCACGGTACCATCAGCTCCCTCCTCCCCTGACCCGCAGGGCCCTCGCCTCTGTCACCTGGTGGAGAACCCACTTTTACTCTTGTTGGTTCTTTTTTGGGGGGAGGATGGGGGTCCGGGAATTGAACTCAGGACCTTGTGCTTGCCAGGCACGTGCTTAGGCAGCTGAGCTATATCCCCGGCCCTACTCTTGTTGGTTCTTATAAATAAATATCTTTTACAGAATTGCACTAAGAGGGAAAATAACCCATACATCCATCAGTATGGGTTAAACAAATTGTGGATTAGCCAGTTAGAGGAGTCAGGTAGGTCTCTACGCACTGGTACAGAACACTTCTGACCTGCAGTGGCCCTCCACATCTAAGGGTTTTGCTGATTCACCAACTGCAGATTAAAAATATTTGGAAAACGATTGCACCCCAGTGAACTTTTTTGTTTTCATTATTCATAAACATTACAATGCTACTTACATAGCATTTACTCTGTGGTAGAAATTATGAGTAATACAGAGATGACAGAGCACACAGGAGGATGTGTACAGGTTAGAGGCAAACACTATTCAGTGGTATCTCAGTTCACAAACTCAATTCTTTGCGCGATTCTGGCAGCAAACTGAACAGGACAGGAACTGAGTCAAATGTCCCCACAAAGTCAACACTGAACCTAACCACTGAATTTGATTTGGTTCTTGTCCAACCCGGTTTGCGACCAGAATCGTGAACCTACCTGTGACTGGTGCATTTTATATAAGGACTTGAGCATAGACAGATTTCAGTACCTGGGGTCCTAGAACCACTCCCCGATGGATACTAAGGAACAACTGTGTAGCTTTTAATAAAGAAAGGCAAGGTATAGCGTGTTTATCTCAGGAAGGATACTCAAGAAACTGGTAAAACTAGTGGCCTCAGGGGACGCAGGTGGAGGTGGGTGTAGAAGCAGAAGATCAAGGATAAATGAGAATTACTTTGTAGTGTATAATCTTTTATGCCGCTTGAAATTTTTAATGCATTTACTGCATATTCAGAAATACAAAGTAAGCCATTGAATATCGTTCTGGCAAAAGATATTGCTCCAAATAAATTAAGAAAATCTTTTCTTGGGGGGTGGAGCAAAAGGCTTGTTTTGCACGAGTGGCAACTGTTATAGAAATGATTTCTGGCATCTTCTCCTGTCGAGAAAACATCAGAAATAAATCTTATGTGTGGGTTGTGAGAAGCACAGAACTCCAGGGTCACAGGGCCCTCGGTCAGAGTCAGGTGATCCGCTGTTCTACACCTTCTTTACTTCATCTCCCTACTGTGCTTGAGACTGTAGGGACGAGGTAGGAAACCTCCTTCCCGGAGGAACCTCTTTCAGGCCTGGATGGAGGCGTATACCCTGCTTCCTGAACACTGCTTTTCGCCTAAGGTCATGCTTTTCTCTTTAAATAGTATTTCTTGATTTTGGCTGCAGATTAGAACTATGCAAAGAGTTTTGGAGTTTTTTTTTTAAGCTTTTTTAAAAATAAAAGTGTCTGGGCTCTGTCCTAGAGCCTGACTCAGACTAGTGAGGTTGGGTACTTTTTCAAAGCTCTTCTGTTAAGTCTAAGGCAGAGCTAAGAAACACTTTGCCCGGTCCCCCTTTGCCCATTCCTCATACTGTGATTTACCAACACCTGGCCAAGAATCTATCCTTTCTCTCCTCAATAATACAGACTTCAGCTTACCTTCTGCTCCCCAGTTCTCATACTAGACATCATCTCTGTCTAATAAGCTGGGCTCCTAGTTCTTTGATCTTCTCTACCACGAACGCCTCCATTTTTCTTTCCTTTAGCCGTTCTGACACATGGCCACTGCTTTGGTCTTGTCACTGAAATTCCATGACTTTGAAATGGTTAAGGGCAACATTTCACCCAAAGACTATGTCGTAGGTTGAATGATGTCCCTCCAAATATATCTGCTTAGAACCTGTGTGTGGCCCCAGTGCGACCTTAGTTGAAAAGTCTCTGCAGATATAGTTAAGAACCTACAGGTAAGATCACCTTGGACTAGGGTGGGACTGAAATCCATTGATGAGTGTCCTTTTAAGACAAGAGAGAAGTAGGGAAGAAGATGACCGAAAAACAAAGGCAGAGTGTGGAGTAACGTACAAGTCGAAAACACCAGAGATCGCTCCCAGAACCTAGGGGACAGGAATAGAGCAGCTCTTCCACAGAGCATCAGGAAAATTGAACCCTGCTGGGAAGTTACTTCCAGGAGTCTGAACTTCTGGTCTTCCGAACTGTGAAACCATAGATGTATGCTGTTTTCTGCTCCCTGGTTTATGGTAATTTGATATGGCAACCATAGGAAACTACAGATCACAACTTTCTGCCTTTACCAAGTCTCAAACTCATTATACTATTGTCAAATTCACCAACGACCCCCAATTTCACTCCCCCACCATCTCCCTGGACCCAGTGAACAGTTATGTCAATAGCATCATAATCATTAATTTCCTTGTCCCTTGCTCTCCTGGTCTCAGATAATGCATCATTCCAGCCTCTCATTCTTCCCCATTCTGTTCCCGGGGCACCAACCAGCAGTGAACAAAACTGCTGCCCCTTTATGTGTCTATCAGTTCTAGCTTTCGGTGAATCCTCAGCACTGCCACCCAATCTCCTTTTTATGGTCTTCACGTGGTCTCTATCACTTATCATAGTCATTGCTCCAGTTTCTCACCAGAAGCTCCCACCCTGGCCCTGTCACCCACCCCTGCCATGCCTCCAGTCTCCAGCTGCAGCGGAAGGGTGTAAGCTGTCACATCTGAACTCCTCCAACTTTCCTCTTCTGCACCTGGAGCCCAACCTTTACCTGTACGCATCCCGAGTGCCTCCTGCTAGCTTCAGAGACCAAGGGTCGCAGGGGCTCATTTGTCGCCCTCTGCTTAGATCCCTCCTCCACAGCCTTCTCTGGACAGCCACCCGTTAGCTCTGGGAGTCCATGAATGCACGGTGCAACGAGGCTGACACAAGTGATCACGTGTCCCTGCCCACGGTCTCCATGGACACTTGTGAGCAGAACGCTTTAACAGTGTTTAGTAGACTGATTTTTAATGTAGGATAGCATTATGAACAATCACCGGTGCATTTGAATAGAATTCTTTGAATGAATTTTCTAAGAAATTTGGTTATATTACATGATGACCTTGGCACACAATGTAGTCAGGTGTTTACAATGAGGGTAGACGAAGTTATATTGACATAAGCCTCCCAACACAAAGAAGTTATGGACTTGATAGGCCAGCAAACAGATTTCTTTATAATAACCTTCAATCCACTAAAGAATATCCAGGACGGGAGTTGTGGGTGCAGCATTTCGCAAGGGTATTCGACTATGGAGTGATGAACTTTTGCCAGGAGCATCAGTTAAGGTCTCTCTTGGTTACCAGTTTGGGAAATTCTGACAAATTCCAATGATACCCAAAAGAGCCATCGTTCCCCCAGCTGGGCACTAACATGAAGCTCCACATTCTAATTCCTCACTGCCAAAACCAAAAGACAGATCCTAAAATATAAGAACCAGACTCTAAATAAATTCATCGTAGTCATGTCACAAACCAAAGGGCTCCTGTGAACACATTTTCTCTATTCCACTGGAGAACACACTTGAATATTTATTTCTCCTCAGGCCGTTGGAATGGTGTACTGGGGGCTGTCAGTGACACTGTACAAGGAGAACGTTCATACACTCCTTGCTCTGTGTGCATGGGAGTGGGGTATTAGACTGTGCTGTGAGGTACATCTTTCCTCATTATGCTACAGATTAAATTTTGCCTACTTGTTTCCAGCTGCTACAAAACAAGCTGAACTTTTCTCTCGCCCTGCAACCCTCTTGAGCTTCTGCCTCCTTTCCTTTTCTCTGTAGCTCTGCAAAAATCACTGGAAGAATAGTCTAACACTCACTGTTTGGACTCACCTCCCATCTGTTGTTTTAACTTGCTCAGCAACAATTTACATCTGGTCGCAGCCCCCAGATTTCCTTTGAGGAACTACCGCTCCTACTGTGGACAACATTCGGTGGGCTGAGGAGTGGGTAGATGATGCAAGTTAGGGCCAATAAGTGCCAGTTACGTTACAAAGACTAAAAATGTTTCATAGAGCCTGAAGATGGAGCTCTTCCAACCGGCTATTGTCCTGGAAGAGATTCCCCGTCACTGTTCGCTATCAAATCCCTATGGCTCTCTCGGGTCTTTTCTGTGGTACTTGGGATTGAACCCAGGACTTTTACACTGAACTACACTCCCAGGCCCCCACTCCCCCTTTTTTGTGAGGCACGGTCTCTCAGAGTGCTAGGGTTAGAGGTAGACACTACCACCCCCAGCTGTCTATGTCCTTCTACTTCTGAAATGTTATGCTTCTACTTTCTTCAGGATTTTGTGTAACTACACATCCTCCCTATAAATTATTGTAAATTTAGGTGAAAGTTGGTTTCTGTTGCTTGCACCTCTACTTTTCGCAATCTGACTTCGCTTCTCCTTTTCTGTGGAAGCTGCATCTACTTCTTTTAATTACAAACTCCACAAAGGTTGTGTGGATGTATTTCATTTGTGGCTCTATCTCCAGAGTCTACCACAAGCCATGACACAAATAGAGTCCCCATCAGTATTTCTGAGATTTACATGAAGCCAAACAATCTGTCTAACCCAGTCGTGCTTTGGAGCCTCCACCGCCTGTTCCAGTTCCTAACTCTTTACAGAGGACTCTGAATCTGCAAGGGTCAGCCCTCTACTTTCCTCGTTTTATAGCTCCTCCTGGGTGACTTCTTCCTTCTCCGGTCTCTACCTTCACCTGCGCAATGCTGACTCACAATTCCACAACCGAATGCGATTCACAACTTTCCTGTGTTCTCAGCTGGAGCGTCAAACTGTATCTATGGACCAGATGCCTCACCTCAAAACGGAACCTGCTATTTGCCCCCCCAA